CCTCTCTCTGCTCAGAGCAGTGATTCCTTGCTCCTAATTCAGGTCTCACTGGAAATGTAACTCTATTTCAAATAACCACTTCCTTACACACACACACACACACACACACACACACACACACACACACACACACACACACACACACACACTTCAAACTACCTGTCTCACCCAAAACCCTATTTTCTTTTCTTTATAACTCTCATCACTAATGGAATATTTTTATTTATTTGTTCATATATAGGTATATGTACATATATATGACATATATATTTCCACTGAAACAGAATCTTGATGAAAGCAGGAATGTTATCCTGTTCACCACTATAGTTCCAATCCTTAGAAAGTCACCGGTAGATTGTAGGTGGTCAAAATGCATTCGCTAAATGAAGGAAAATGCCAACTTCAGCACCTACCATGCTAAAGGTGCTCAAGGAATGCTATCTTGCATTTCGTCTCCCTTCTATTGTCTTCATTATGTCTGGGAAATTGTAAAATGTCATTGAAACTAAAGCTCTGATTTTTTTCAGTCCTCTCTCAACACCACCAATGTTCCAAATGTATGAACTAGTGATGCCATCCATTTGTAGAAACAGAATGAGTAAGAAGCAAGTAGAAAGCTTTGATATCTATCTAGTCCTACCTAAATTGGGTATTAATTTCAAGACTGTTTTTCAAAATGATTTGGATTTTCAGATTATCAGATGCCTCCATAATCAAAGTAAATCCTTTCTGAAATAAAATGCAAATGATTCTTAGAAGATCCCCTGCTTGGGATTAACTGCCTGCACTCTATTGCCATGCATATTTCAAAGTTGGCTGCAATGCAAACTTACAGATAAGTACAAAACAAAATTAACAGCTTACTTTTCCCCTGGCTACACACCCTGCATTACACAGATAAAAAACCCACTGGCACAGTATTCCCCATAGCTGATCCACATGGATAATTTTTGCTCCTAATGCTGAGTATATGACAATATGCCGAGACCTGTGGATATCTGTCTGAGTGGGTAGTTTTGCACATGAACTTATATGTGCAAATAAACTGTATTTTGTTTTTTTCAAATTAAAAATAAACCTCAAAGGCAATGGACTCCAAAGGGTTTGTTAATGAAATCAAGAAAGGATGTAAGGGTGTGTTAAACTCAATGCCAGTGGGAATAAATGTGAGAGTTGGTTCCAGTGGTCTCCATTTTCATTTTTGCTGTACTGCTCTCGCTGTTTTATAGAAGACCATGGATTCTTGTCTTGAAGAGGAAAACTACAAAATAGACTTTCATTCTCTCAAGATTAAATTTGTCCTTTTCTCATCCACCAGATGTGAACAGGAATTGGATAGTAGCACAGAAGAGAATGGTTTAAAAAATAAAAATGGATTTGAATTAGGGAAGGAGGGATCTATTCATATTTTGGAAGTCACAGGAAAACACTACAATTCTGCCAGCACCCAGAAGGCACCGTTTAGTATGTGCTGTCTCTTTCACTGCAAGAGGACACAGATTATATTTTTAGTGCAGTAAACAGCAGATTCTACTGCAGGGATCCTTGCAGTTGGCACCTATAGCAATTTCATTTAAAATGTTATAAAGCTTTAAAACATCAGGAATTTAAGGCAGTCAGTCACATATACCTCCTTATATACATTCGGCCACATGCTCATTATTGTTGACACACTGGTACTAAATGGTATATAATAATATAATACATGATGAAACAGGGTTTTACCATGGAGTTATGCTTCATAACCATGACAGAGAGTGATGAAAATAAAATACACCGCACCGCAAGGGCATGTTTGTAAATAGTGTATTTACACCACATGGTAAACAGCCACCTAAGAGTTCATCGAAAGGACATTATTATTCACACATAGAGAATTTGAGAGGTTATTTTAGAGCTCTTATTTGTAACAGACGTTTTCAGTGCCACACTCATGGTTTTTGGCACTCACCTTGACAAACCAAAGACTGCTACTATAAAAACTGATAGCTCCCATCTGAGAAAGGTTTTTCCTGGTCATAGGAAAGAGGACAATTGGCCTTTGTTCTGGGAGAGCCAAAGGGCTGAAGAGTTAATGTCTCCAGTACCATCCCTCAGCCAGAGATAGAACGGGGTTTGAAGTGTAAGTGCCTTAGCTTCCTCACGGCTTAGCTGTGATAATGTTGGGTCATGTTCCCATGGTCTCCTGGAGTTCCCCACCAGATTTGAGCTCCAGCTGTCTACCAGTTTGATATCACAACCTTTACTGGCTTCAGTCCTGTCTCTGTCTCACATCCCCACTTCTCTACTTTGCTGAGTTCACCTCCCCACTCTCTCACATAAACTACTTGGATTCTAAGCCTTGTATCAAAGAAAATCCAAATTAAGATACTATCTTCAGTTTTTATTCATTTGTGAAATGTGACTTTTCACTAAACACCCTGGGACATGTATCCCTTGTCACTAATTCTACATAAATGTGATCCTCACCAAAAACCACAAGTTGAGAAAAACCTCACAATTATTCACAATTAAAATTTAAGGATGTTTTCTCGGTAGCATAAACACCTATAACAGTGGGATGATTCTTAAAACTGATAGAATAACTTACTACAGAAAGCTATTTGAATAGATCTAGTAGTAAATGGGAGACTAGTTGACTATCTCTTTTTTTTTTTCATTTGCTACTCTGGATATATTTTCTCAATATATACTTTTTCCTGAATTTCATTCTTTGGTGCAAAAATGTATTTGATGGTTATATTCCACAGATATAACCAACATATCAAAATGAATATTTACTCAGCATGTTCCATGCACCTCAGCACTGACTTTTTAAAACCTACACTTTAATCCCCACAGCTTGTCACTCTATTGCAAAGATATGCCTTCAACCTATGAAAAACTTAGAGAGAAATACGAAAAAGTATTGAAGCATGAAATTGTATGGTACTTAAAAGACTTATGTGAAACTTCTCTAAATGACAAATGCTATAATGTAGTAGTAGTTTAAATGGAAGAAGGTAGAAACAAGTAGAAAGATACCTGGAGATTTCTTGGTTCCAGGATTCCATATTCCTTATTACAGATATATCCTCAAACCAATGACCTAAAGGCCTGAACTTCTGTATATTCTTGAATGATTTGGGGCAAATGGCATTAATAATCTCAGTTATCAATAAGTCATTCATTTGATCAGTTCATCAACTAATATTTCTTGAGCATCCCCCAAATATATAACAGTAAATAGGACAAAATTCTTTCCCTTATCAAGTCTGCACTCTAAAATGGCAAACAGTCAATCAACAAGTAAACAAGTACATTTATAATACAGTTTCAAGTAATGCAACTCTGACAAAAAATAATCAGGCACAGCAGGGCTAGAGAATAATGGAGGAACATTTATTTTCGATAGGGTGATCAGGGATGGCTTCTCTAGGGAGTTATCATTTAAACAAAGGCGCTAGCTCTGCAAAGAAGTGAGGACAGGATTTTTCTGGCAGAAGAAATAGCCAATGCAAAGGCTCTGAAGTAGGAATAAGTTTATCATAGTAAAGAAAAAATATGCCAATGATGAGTAAGTAAAATGGGTATTACAGAAGATGAAGTGAGATAGGTAAGTAGGAACCAGATACTACAAGACTTTGGAGGCTTACAGTTGGATTTCATTCTGTGGAGGACAGAAAGTCATTGAAAAGTTGAAAAGATCATTCTGGCAATCATTGAGAAATAGACTATGGAGCACAGGAGTGGAAGAAAGAAGACCAGTTAGAAGGCTATTCCCTTGTCAGGTGGGAGGTTATGATGGTTAGAAGTGGGAGGACTTGAGTTAGGAAAAGGAATAAATTATTATTTTTTACTTCAATAACCTCATGAATGATGATACCGATTACTGAGGTGGAGACAGCTGGTAAGAAGCAGGTAATGGATGGAGACAGAGATCAAGATTCCATTTGGAACATGTTGAATCTGAGATGTCAATTATACTTCCCAAGGGAGTCAGTTGGATATACAGTAATACCTTGGTTTGCGAGCATAATTCATTCCAGAAACAAACTACTCGTATTGCAAGCCATCTCCCGTTTACCAAGTTGAAATGTATTAGAAATGTTTGTTCATCTTGCAGAACACTCTCAAACCAAGTTACTCGCAATCCAAGGTTTTACTGTACCAGATCAAAGTTCAGGGTCAAGTCTGGGCTGAAGATATAAATTGGAAATCATCAGCATTAAATGGTATTTCAAGCTTGGACTTGGAAGATTAGGGATAGAAGAAAACAGATCTGAAGACATACTCCTGGGACATTCATACATTCAGAACTTAAAACGGGAAAGAAAGACTAAAAGAGAAGCCTAAAGAAACAGTCATGGAAGTAGGAAGAAAGCTGTGAAAATTCTTTAGATTTACCAAGAGCAGGTTCTACCTGATCGCAAAGAAAAACTCAAGAGTCTCATTGTTTGTGGAAGTAAAAGGACAATGATCTCCCCAGGGGTCCCATTATAAAAATTGATACTAAGTGGGCTTTCACTATATAAGGAAGGAGAAGAAAGAATTTTGATCATAGCCTTTGCCTCCTTCCCTAAGGACAATTAGAAGATGGAGCAAAGGAAGGCAAAACTGTAAGTCCTGATGGAAGAGAAAGAGATTCAGAAGCCAGATGAGCTTGTTCCATGGCTGACGCTGTGAAACAGTGAGCACTGTGGATGCTGCTCAGGCTCAGGTGACCAAGTTAGTGAGAGTATTTTCTCCTCACCTGTGCTTAGAGCTGGGTAGCAGGAACCGGTCCCTTTGACATAGACACAGGCTCTCTCATGGAGGTCACTACAGGGATCATGACATCTGTTCATCACTCAACATCCCTGTGATACAGGTGAGCTGAGCAGTGATTATTAACACAGATTCCAACTCTAGAACTCAGTGCCTCTCCAGGATGTTTTGTTCCCACTGGACAACACGGCCAAAACAGCCCCTTCACATGCATACTCTTTCTAATGGAGGCATCAAATTCCGATATAACCAACCTGTGTTGAAGAAGGATCCAGTCCATTCTGCATCAGTTTTAGGAAATACAGAAACTGGTGGAGGTAGACCCAGGGCTCTCCCATCCAGATCCTTAAAGAGATATTTCCTTGGACTTTCACAATCCGATTCAGGGCAGACCAGTGTTCCTAAATCTTTCCTGTGAAGACAGACAGAAAGCAGCTTTCATTTCATGATAAGCAGCAAAAAGAAAATATATTGGTATTACTGATCTGATGAAAAATAAATTCAACATGATTTTACTATTGATAATGTGTTACATAGACATGAAAGAAAACTCTATAGAAAATGTTATTTCCCAGCTATATGGTCAAGAAGACAGTATTATTAACAAAGTATTCTGGATATATAACCTTTACATAGATTGCTAATTTTCTAAGAAGCAAGATAAAATAAAATGCTCCTAACTATAATATCTACTGAAAATAATGTAATCATTTCTTTATGGAACTTTGGAACCTTGCAGTATTTTAAGATTGTCATTACAAATATCAATTGTATTTGTGCTATATACAAACAAGGTCAAAATAGAAAATCTCATTCAACACATATCTATTAAAAACCTACTACTTATTGATTGAGAAATATAATGGTGATAAATATAGACATGGTTTCTATACTTTTAGAATTTAGAGTCAGGCAAGATATATAAACAAATAACAGGCAATTATAACATTGAATTATAGAGAATTTATTTTATTTCCCCTGGTCTAATACTTTTATTTATTTTTATTTTTATTTTTAAGATTTTATTGAGGAAGCGGGGAAGTGGAACAGACAAGTTGCTGTCCTTTTGTTCTCCAGTCTAGTTGTGGAGGACGTCACTTCACTGGCCCATGTTGGTATTATCATTGCACTCTTCCCGGGTGAGGCAGATCGGTCACTGGCTACTGGACA